ATGTATTTAAGGATGCTCTTTTGACCTTTTAATAAAGTTAACTAATAATTTTACAACCATAAAATTATCTTGTTCACATCTAAAAGTCTCAATAAAAGGATTTTATTTCTGACTTTTACAGGCCTTCAAATATAAGAACAACTTGTCAAGTACGGCAATCAACAGTGGAATACACTACTACTTCAGATACAAAATCTTTAATATTGAGAACAAAAAAATACAATATCATATCAAAACAATATTTGTTAATCTTAATAAGTATAACATTTGTGGCACTATAACATGAGAAAGACTACAACACCTATAAAATACAACATGGACACTAAAAAATATACTAAGGAAAATATTCCTATATGAAGTAATCAGAACAATCTGGTAAGCCAAATTATTAATATAATCAGAGAAGACAAATACAACATCAAGCCAAACATAACACAAGACTAAATGAAAACATTTCTGGATGACCAGATACATATTATTGAAAGCATAATGAAACAAGAGTAGTTTAAAGAAAATAGATATAATCTCAAAAAGTACAACATAATGTTTATCTAACAGATAACAAATGTATATCAAATACACATGCTGGAATAGAGACAAATTAGATCCATGGCAGAAAAAAAAGTAACAGGCCATTAACCCAAATGGTTCATAGATATCAGAAAGCAACATTATTATTCAGACTGGTCAATGAACAGGTACAGATGCAATATTAATGGCCTTATACAATCCAATTCAATTTAACAACCAAAAACACTAGCAAATATCAATATTAAAAACACAAGATACCTAATAACAACAATAAATTAACAAATTTATATTGAAAAAAAAACAAATGAAAAAAAAACAAGAAAACACAATTCAAGTACAATATATAATATAAATAGCAGAAGACTCTTTACTTCAAAAATGTATAGGATGTGGATACAATGAACTAGGAAACAATATATGTATAAGAACAATCAACAATAAATACACAGTAATAATTCTAGTAATCAAAACAAGACAGAGCTTAAAATCCATAACCAGGTTATTGGCATATTAGAAAAAGTTTTGACATTACTATTTATTATCAAAAATAACATCCAAAAAGTTAAACAAGATAACAAGAAGAACAAGAAAGAAAAAGTACAAAACAATATGAGAACTGAGAACTAGACAACACAAAAATATACAAAGAAATAAAGGTAGACCCACAAATCAAAATTGAGTTGAAAACAAGAAAGAGAAAAATAAAAATGTCAAAAATAATTGAAGCTTATATAAATAAATCCATGAAATAAGTAAGTATACATAAATGTAAAATAGAAATTGGATGAATAGCAACAAACAAAGAAATTAACAAAAAAGTAAAATTTTTAGCTAATGTACAAGATTTCTTATTATCCATTAGGACAGAACTTATGGTGATTCTAAGCCTAATCAAATGTATACTAACTAATGTGGAAATAAATATATACATATGTAGCAAAGCAGTTATATAAAATATAATGAGAGGGAAAAAACAAAACAAGTTCATAACATATATATTCAATTGAATAATAATTAGACATATTAAAAAGGTAATCAGAAATAGAGCAGAGATAACAAATATAATCAATGTAAAAGTATATACAAAAGTTAAAGGAAATGAAACAGTAAACAAATTAGCAAAAAAAGAAACACAAAAAGGAAAAAAACAAGGATTAAAAATAAGCCAGACAACAGATGATATTTACTATAATATCAAATGGAAAGATATAACTCTAGATACAAATATTAACAGTTTAATAAAAGACAACAAAGCATATGATGACTAGCAAGATAGCTAATTCAAAACAGACACATAGCATAGATAAATAGCAGGAAAAAGGAAATAAATTGGAAAACAATATATAAAACACAACAACCAATATCAATTACAAATAATAGAACAGACAAACAAGATTACATGAGCAGAAACTTCCAATACAAAATGCTTAACAAAGAACTTTCAATCCTTAACAAACTAGCAGAACACAGATCCAATCTTTACAAAACAGCAACATGTCCAATCTGCAAGATAAAAATAGAAACACACCAGTACATGATATACAAACACTAAAAAAAGAATATTACCAATGAATATAACAAAATTATTAAACAAAAAAGCAATGCTAGGACAAAAAAAAGAAGATAAAAAGAAGAACAATACTTGAAACACAGAGTTATTGAATCAGAATACACAAAAACACTAATAACAAAAATGGTGTTTACAAAAAAAACAGTTAAATATATAAGAAACAAAGTAAGAAAAAGAGTTAAAAAGATATGCAAAGCAATCACAACCCGCATGGAAGCAAAGTTAAAAGAATAGAGAAAGAACAGATACAGCAAAATAGCAAAATGAAAAAAGAAAACAGTATTACAACCTAAGAGAAGAAAAGAAAGATAACTAGAGAAAAAAAAATACAATGGAAAAAACAGAAACCAAAGGTTGAAATGCAAAGAAAAAAGAAAAGAAAGCAATAAAATGGGAGGAAAAGATGACAGAATGGTTCACAAAATACAAGTGAAATGTGGAACACAACAACTATATACACATACTATTTACTAACACTAATGGAGCCTTGGCACATTAGTTTTTGATCCCTTTTCTTTTGTCTAGGCTTAAGAATAAATCAAATAGCTCAAAGTCAATATTTGGAAAATTTCTGATATAATCTGATATATAGATAGAAGTGAAGTTATAACATTTATGTAGACAAATCTGTAAACAATTAATGTAAACATCACAAACTAATAAAGTATACTGGGCAAGGTCCAGCTAGTGTTTTAAAAAAAAAATAATTTAAATTTTATTAGATGTTTTAAACTTTTGGTTAGAAAGTATATATATATATTATAATAACTGGGGCAGTTATTAACCAAAACTTTATTTATAAGGGATTACTTATTACTGGCAATATTACAAAATTATGAACCTGAATTTAAGAGTAAAAAGATTTTAAAATAATCCAGCCAAAGAAAATGTCGGCTAAACTATTTGAATTTTATTCGAAGATTCTGGTTTATAAGACATCAGTTTCAAAATCCAGAAAATGCAGAAAATGATGAAAATACAAAAGACCAAATTCCAAAAATATGAGAAGAAAATGCTATGCCTGGAAATATACGGCATATTTATTTATATTCTATTTAACAAAAAATCTGTCCAAAAACTTTCTTATTCCACTATGTTATTTTTTGATGTATATTATGTACCTACGTAACCAAGACTTCTATCATCCTTTTTAGAATCTTTATTAAAACATTATGCCTATGCGCAAAATACGAATGCTAAATAAGTTACAAGATGAGTAACCTACAGTATATATGATGTACAGTACATAATAGGTGTTGAATAAAATGTCGGTTTAAAAGCCAATCATTTTCGTGATGTTGAATCCCAAAAATCCCGCGCTCAGGCTAGCGATGATGGGTGAAATTAAATACTTCATGAAAAAATTGCCGACCGAACATGCACCATCGTACATTTTATGCCAGAATGATCGTTTTTTTTCTTTTACAGGTTCAGTAAGTTGAACTGATCGAATGGCATTTAAGTTAGTTTATTACTAAGTTTTAAAATCGGCATATTATCGTAAAGAAAAGAGACTTTGGTTTACCGTACCTCCACTCATAGATTTAAGTAACAAGTCGCGATAGTAACTATGCTCTTCGGGACTCATACTTGGTTTTTCTCCAGAATGCCAATTTTCTAGGAGTTTATCATAAACTTGGAGTTTTGCATAGTAATCTGTCATAGTTTTTATTCAAGTATTTTGATGAAAACGCAAGAAAATGAAAAATATTCAAGTCTTTATATCTATTTTATTTGATTGTATTCTATCTATATCAATCACGTGTGATTTGCTACATCTTTTTTTGGTCATATGGATTTTTTAAATAAGGTATTATCTATTAATACGAAAAGAGTAACAATAACAATACAGTTATACAGTAGTAGCATTGCTTTTGCTATGCGGTAACGGATATGCAAACTCTAAGTTCGATGCAGCGATTCATGACCTAAATCGCAAGGTTTTAAGGTTATTTAACAAATAAGGAGTTCTATGAAATAAATATTCCCGAATTTATCCTGTTTTCTTGTTCTTATTCAATATCTCGTGTATGTAAATCTGAGATCCAGTGTATGTACGTATGATTCGTTACCCTACACTATATTTTATTAAATACTGGGAGGTTTTGTTAACAAATACGGAGTTTTGCGCGTTTAAACCTGTTTTTATCTTTATACATAAAATCGAGCGTGAGAGGCGTTTTACAGAATGAATATTTCACGCGTTTAATATTTAAATCGACAAAAAAAGTACAAAATAAATTATTCCGCGACCAGTATAAAAGGATTTAAGATTTGAGGTAAATTATATTAGAAAATGGATTTCTTTGAAGAGCTGAATGAGTGTCAACGTCAATTTGACAGAGGTGAAATTAGTGAGGAGGAACATAACGAACGTCGAAAATTAATATTTACTAGAATTGCAGATCCAAATAAAACCAACCCTGAAGGTATGTAATAAATAAGAAGAGTCTTAATTCAATAATTTGCTGACAATATAAGATCTTATAGCTGTTAGTAAACCAAAAGAGACGGACTTTTATACAATCCTCCAGTTAAAACCCAGCGCGACTGAAACAGAAATTAGAAAAAATTATAGGAAACTTGCTTTAAAATATCATCCAGACAAAAATGGCAATGTTGAAACTGAAGAGGTAGTGCGATAAAATACTTTTTTTACTATTTTTACATCTAAAATTAATATCGATTACAGTGGGGCAAGATCTCAAAGGCATACAAAATTCTCTCGGATGTGAATAGCCGTTACCTGTATGATAATTATGGAACATGGAACGATTGTAAGGTTTACTCACTTTTGTTGAATTTTTTATGTACCTGTTGTACTGAATTTATCTTAATTTTAGCTGCAGAAAACAAAGCATCATTCAATCGTTATGTGGGAGGAGACCCATGGCAACCTTACATCGGTAACCTAGAAGTTGGCTTTTGGATATTTTCATTTGAAGACAGTGAAAGTTCACCTGAACTGAAAAATATATCCAAGGCCGAGCAGAAAAGTAGCCGTCACGCTGCCCGCATATCCAACATTACTCGTTATCTTCAAGATAAACTTATTCAATTCCCGAAACAAAACGACCCTTCATTTGAAGGAAGTCTTCGTCGAGAAGCACTAAATCTTTGTGCGGAACCTAATGGCAAAGAGCTATTATCTCTTTTAAGCGAAATCTACATATCCAAGGCCCAATCCTATCTAAATAAGTGTTTTGTGTCAGCCACGTCAATTAAATATTCTGGATTTTTTAACATTCTTAGGTTCACGAAGGGGTTGGTATCCGGATTCTTAACGGTTAAATCTAAAAGCGGACAACAGTTAAATGAGGATGAGGTCAAATCTTATTATTTTTTTTCCACTGAAACAAAAAATAAACAAAATATACTGATAATTTAAAAATTTTTAGGTCACCAAATTAATCTGGCAGTTTTCATTGTCAGAAATATCCTCAGTTGCATATGAAACTTGTGAAAAGGTTTTAAATGATAAGAGTAATGATTTAGACCACCTCGCCAATTCTCTGCTTCTCTTGGGTAAAGTGTGGCTGGAAGTAAGCAAGCTGTCTGGAGTGTAGTATATTTTAAAATTAATAAAGTCTAGCCTAAATAGTTTTATCCTCACAGTTTTTTGCAATAAACATAAATTAACTATATATCCACAAAAAGTTAGAATTATAAGGCAAAGAACACCAGCATATATTCTTTTATTCTGAAAATGTACAGGCAAATTTGTTTACCACATCTTGCTCGTATTTTTATCAACGAATGCTGTTCTTTATATGCAGGTCATTTCATTATATTTTGACTAATAAGAAATATATTTATTTATCATCTTCTTGTCGTAATCGCTTAAAGTCAGATATCCTGAATGTTATATTGTTAGAACATAATTTTTCTTCTTGCAAAGAATTGTGCCCAACTACTGCGCTAATACGTTTACAAATCGACCACTAGCACGGGATTATCATTTTATTCATGCATAAATTGATCATTTGGGAGGTGACAAAAAGTTAACCATACCATACTAATGAAATCAAATATTTTATTATAATTTTGGCATATACATTATACTACCTGGACATGAGTATGGCATAGTTTAAGTTGAAAAAATATGCATCGTGGAATCTTCTAAATACACACTTTAAGTACACATCTCTATATTCTGTTCATGCATAAAGTTCTTTAGTCCATACTAAAGATAGGCACCCTATAAATGCATGTATATAACAAGTTTGTACAGTCTGTCACAAAAGTCTTTGGACTCTTATTTTAGTTTACAATCTAATAACTAATTAATAGTATATATATATATTATTTAAAGATTTAAAGATTAAAATTAATTGAAAATTTTATTGTTATATAATAATAATTTTATTAAAATTTTATTTGAAATAAAAAATACTTTGACTATTTTTTTTAACTATAAAAAATAATCATCAATTATTTTTATATTTTGTTAAAAAAGTTTATTAAACAATGATTAAAAAATTGTTATGTAATTTTTTTAAAATTTTTTTATTAGTAAAAAATTTTTTATTTAATTAATAGATTTTTACAAACAAATTAATTTTTACAGACAAATTAATTTTTATGAATAAATTAATGTTTATAAATGAATCAATTTTTAAAAATTATAATAATACTTTATAATTTTTTTATATAAATTAAATTATTTATATTAATTTCTATAACTAATATTTTTTATAACAAAAATTTATTTAATAACAAAAATTTGTATTTAATTTATTTTTAAATGCCATTATTGTTTTAATAAAATTTTTTAAAATAAACTTATTAATTAATTATTAATATAAAATGTATATACATATTTAATATTATATAAAAAATATTTTTTTATGATTTAAATATTAATATATTGATTTTTAACTAAAAATAAAATTTTTAATAAATTTTAA